AGTTGCACACAGAGGTTTTTCCACAAATGACAATACTGTCACATTAAGTCTCTTTCTGTGGTCAACACTAGACCTTTAACAAACAAAAGATCACGGCAACAAAAAGGACATCAAACAAGAATTCATGAGACAAAATAAAACAACTGAAATTAAGCTGGTTTATTTATTCATGAAACACGGAAAAAATTGCGATAGCTCACGTACATGCAGTATAAAGCCCACCCCTAATTTTTACCTGAAGTATCTGTTTAATCCTCTTATCTTACACTATAATTATGATTGCATTGGATAGCTCTGATTTCCAATGACTTCTGGCTGCTTTCTTTTCTTTAGGTTTTCATAATTTTACAGAGATGACAGGCCAAGGTTTGGGAAAGAGATGCCTACCTGCTCAGCTGCTGGTGTTCTGGATGTTGACCAACATGTCTGGTGATGAACTGTTATGATTAAATGAATCCGTTTCACTGCAGAAAAATACATAAAATGTGAAATTAACACTAACGCTGCCCTCCAACACTCTGCTTGTACTTCAGAATCCAGATTGAGTTTGTTTGCTCCTCAGGCTGTTACACTTGAGGAATACTCTAAAAATGCCGTCGTTATTACTTCCAGGTAATAGTATTTTAGATAAGCCATATTACCAGTGTAGATATATATAAGTGTACTTTCTGTGTTTAATAATAGAAAGCCTGTTAAAATTGCAATAAAACGATTCTGTATACAGTACCAGTGTTTTCAGCATGTAATACATTTACAGTTATATTCTGGGAAATCTTTTTGATTCTGGGTTAATTGAAATAATTGTAGTTATCATTTGTACTACACATTGAATTATTTGCAAGACTTTTATAGCTACATCATAGTCTTAAAGGATACAGAACTTCATCTCACAGTCATCAGCAACCTTTCTGTTTTTTCTTTTCTAAATCCATTGTTAACTACATTACATAGCAGATAGAACCAAAGAGAAGCGATATTATACCCATATGAAGTAAGATGTGTTACTACTGGCATTTAATATAGACTTTGTTATTGCAAGCGTTAACATTTGTATTGTTCCCTTTGGTGTTTCGTGTCTTTGTGCAGTTCCCCTCTCAACCAGTCAGCTGTGATTCACCTAAATGTAACACACAGCTCCAAGATAAACTACTCGTCTATAATCACAGTGCCTGAGGAGGTAAGAAACCAAACATGAAAAAATGATGCTGCATATGAGGCAACAAAACATGGGCTTAACAAAACATTTCAAGCTAGGATACTTTTGAGGAAGTCAGGATGGATGTTTGTTTTTTTAATAACTTTGTAATATCATAATATGAACACAACAACACCTCTGATTACAGAAAGGTTAAAGAATGATTGGGTATAAAAAGAGCCTCTCAGAGGTTGATGGAGTCCATAACTATTATCATAGGCCAGTTCCTCTTTTGCTGCTGTTTTTTGAATTTATAAGACAAAATCAGACCTGGGTTATCTAAGTTTGATTAAACTAAATTATTATTTTTTATCAAAATGTATTTGTGACAGTAGGCAGAGACCAAAATCTATGTGAGTTTTTTGTTTAGGTCATGATGCCAGTACAAGCTACCGCTGTCAGTTTTAATGTGACAGCCCATGATGTTGGTCAGGTGACCACATATCTGGTTACCAACAGCACAGAGCTCAACAGGTGGGTGTCAGTCCAGCACGAAGAAAATAATTTCCTTCACTGAATGCAATAATTGAATATCTTAAAGTGATCACTTTCTTCTTCAAATTTGGTGTCCAAATCTTATAAACTGAGTCTTGGTGCCAGTGAATCTCCTGTTAAGTTTTTAATTCTCTCCAGACTGTACAAGCTATTACAAGACATTGGTTGAAGCAGCAGAGCACAAACGCACTGAAATGTGTTTTCTTTGTCCCCTTTTGTCACGCAAAACGTCTGGATCTCAAAATGGTTATAAGCTAATCGTTGAAAAGATAGAAAGTTGTTAATTCTGCACTACTCAGAGCTAATGATGCTCACGATGAGATGGAATTTTCCTGTTTTTATTGTAAAGCACTTTGGTGTACTGCTGGTGCTATACAAATAAAGTTGTATTGTATTGTATGGATGGAGGGATCCACCAGAGGCCGGCTGATGTCTGCTGCCACTTAATTTTTTAACTGATTAACTGTCCAGTTTCTTTGTGTACATAAGCTATATCTTTTTTTCCAGTGTGCCTGTCAGGATCCGCTTCATAGTTGTCCATAGCAATGTCCTGTCCATAATTAGTGAAGTCATTGGTTGGATTTACTTTCTGGCCTGGTCAGTGTCTTTTTATCCACAAGCCTTCGAAAACTGGAGGAGAAAAAGGTAGTTTTCAAACATCTTTTATCTGTCCTTATATATTTCTTTCTTATTATTGTTATCATTTTGTAGTTAGACTGACATCTGGTAGCATAAGGCAGTACATCAGTACATAAATCAGTGCCTTTGTCAGAAGGTTTGTTGTGTCTCCAAGTACAGTTTCAAGAGCATAGAGATTTAAGGAGACAAGCAGTTACTGGACCACAGCAACCTCCCTGAACATGATCCAGTAATCATTGCAGTGGCAGACACCCAAGAAAGGGTTTCAAATTTGAAAAGTTAGACAGAACCAGGCCTTGACACGATTTATACCTAACAAGACTGGCTACGGATACATATCTATGTTAGCTTCTTTACATAGATATCGAGCTCAATTCAAGCCCAAAAAGAGTGAAGGTAGTCAGGTATGAGTGGATTGTACTACTAGAAGACAACTTTGCAGAAATTGAGGATAGCTGTAAGTACCTTGGAAGGCAAATGAGAACCAGGAAGAGTCCACTATAGAAAAGCTGCAACTACCTGCAGAGAATAAGTCACGGCCAGAGGAGTAAACTGAATAGAAAGAACAAGAGCTAGGCAGTCGACACCTACGCCCAACCTAGTTGTCAGAGCTGGTCAAAGGAAAAAATAGAAGTCACTGACTTCAAGACAGGAAAGCTTTTTACCATGCATGAAGGGTTTCACCCCAAGTCCAGCACCCTGAGACTGTACGCCAAGCAGAAGGAAGGAAAGAGGACTAGTGAGTGTCAGAACTGCTATTCAGGATAAAACAGCAAAGGGCCATGAGTGCATCAGAAAGATGGCCACAAGTGATCGTGTGCTTATTAAATACCTCGGGCAGCAGAAACCTGAAAAAGGACCCGAGCAAGAAGAGGAACTAAGAAGAGGAATCATCGTGGAAGGACAGGGCACTGCACAGCATGTACTGTTGGCAGGCAGAAGAAGTCTAAAAATCCTACCAGTGGCTGGACAAAGCTGGACTGAAAGACAGCACAGAGGCACTAATCATGGCAGCACAAGGTCAAGGTCAAGGTCTAGGCACAATATCAGTAGAGGCATAGGCCTACAACACCAGGCAAGATCAAGAAAAGATCTGACACAGGGCGGAGGGGAGGGAGAATCTATAAAATGAATGACATTGATTGCCCTGACTCTTTCTCTTCAGTCTCTCTTGTGTGTTGGGTTTAATGTGGTGTGAAATTTGTAGAATGTTTAAAAAATAAAGTTACTCAAAATTAAAACGAACATGTTTGTCTTCAGTGTTGTAGGTCTCAACTTTGACTTCCTGGCTCTCAACCTGACGGGTTTCATTGCTTACAGCGTCTTCAATATAGGACTGTTCTGGATACCGTCTATAAAGGTAACTCCAGCCACTGAATGGACACTCCATTGTTTATACACATGAAGAATAGGATACCAGCCAGTACCAGTGAGTCTAGAGAAACCTTTGAAAGTTAAATGCTTAATTAGATTTATAACTGTATTTAACATACTGTCTCCTTGAGAACAACTCTACGATCTTTTCACTCAACTGTCTGTGAATTTGAAGACATTCCATCCATTTGTGGCATTTCTTGATGATCAGTTGATGTTTTTCATGACTACACTGGACGATCCACCTAGTGGCTGTTGCCTTTGTATAGAATAACATTAGGTTTTGCATAATACTTTTTGTTAAGCTACTGTGTGCTCCTCCTGTAGGAGGAGTTTCTGAAGAGGAACCCTAATGGAATCAACCCTGTGAATGCTAATGATGTTTTCTTCAGTCTCCATGCTGTCCTGCTGTGTTTGGTCTACGTCAGCCAGGCTACTGTGTATGAGGTATGTGTATGTCATTTCATATACTTACAGACTTTCTGCTTTAAGACACTTAAAGCAGAGGAGCAGAATAATTTAATGTAATGACTTTATTGTTAAGACTGAATACGACATGACTCTCAAAATCACTTTTATCACAGAGTCAGTTTGTTTGGCAGGATGTCTCAGACTCAGGACGGGTGTATAATGTGCCCTTTTTCTTACAGAGGGGTGGACAGAGAGTCTCTCGGACGGCCTTGGTTTTATTGCTGATTGGCTGGATGTTTGCTTTGATCAGCTTATTTGTTGCTGTAGCCAAAACAATCACCTGGCTGGACTACCTTTACTATTTCTCTTACATTAAGCTAGCAGTGACTCTTATCAAATATGTACCACAGGTAAGACTCAGACACAAACTGGACTTGCACATTAAATAATGAATACTAGACTGAAACCATATTAAAAAAAAATCTTGCGTTGTTGGATGTTCCATCGATTTAATGTGTTTTGATGCCCACCTTCACTGCCCACCAGTGGTGCATCTGTCTACATTTCTTTTTCAGTAACAGTGCCACGTTACAGAGATTTATTACAGTAAACACGTTTTAGAAATACAATGTTCACATCTAACCTGATTAATACACTGCTAAACAAAACACTTTTTAATTAGAGTGTGTCATTAAGTTGGGATATTGATCTTGGTCAGTTAATTAGCAGGGGGTTATTAAAGAGTTTTAGCTGCTTAATGTTAATGAAATTAACAATAGGCGCACTAGAGGGGCACCTCCTCTCTTCACCTGATATGACCTGATGATTTTTGAGCAGTGTACAAGTCTCAAATGTTCTATGCCATATTTATTTTTATCAGCAGTGAATACAGTTGATGGCTTTCCTGTGTTTCCAGGCATACATGAACTACAAAAGACAGAGTACTGAAGGATGGAGCATTGGCAATGTGTTACTGGACTTCACTGGTGGATTCTTCAGCATTCTCCAGATGATTCTGCAGTCTTATAACAATGGTAATTACAGTAGTTTGCTTACTGTACATACAAAAATATTTAATGAAATAAGCAGGATTTCTGAAGCGATGGAAAGAAAGGAAATGTTGACATGAAAAGTAAAAGTGTGTTTACTGTGCTTATTTTACCCCTCAGCTATAAGAAGCTGATGGGTATTGTTGTCACCTCGCCCTGTGGGCGGCATGGAGAAGTGATAACTTGAGAAGAATTAGGATTTTTAAATGGATAAAATAGCTGCATCTACTTTACTACCTGTACTGTTGATGTGAGCACTGGAGCTTTTTGACGGTATCTCTGTATTAATTTTGATCCTCAGATGAGTGGAAGCTGGTGTTTGGTGATCCTACAAAGTTCGGTCTGGGTCTGTTCTCCATCGTGTTTGACATCCTTTTCATCACTCAGCACTATGTTCTCTACAGACGATCGTCACAGTATGAACCACTCGTGAACCAACAAGGAGACTGATACTCGCTGGAGTGACCCAAAGAAGCACATTTATGTACAGCTTTAAAGAGAACTTATGGTTGTTGTTTGACTTTCATTGTGAAAATAATCTGGTCAGTTTCTTCAAAGCAGGGATTTACATGTCTCATTAACACCAACTCACGTATGAATATTAATTAAGAAAAGGGAAGACAAATTAATTGAAAAAGCAACTGTAACACTAACTGTTATTATCCATGTCATTTGTAATTAAGGTGGTAAACCTGATATAAACCAGGTTACCATAGCGAGTCAGTTTCTCTAAACTTTCACTTCTAATCATTTTCTGACAACTACTGTCTTGAATCAAGACTTTACTGCAAATGAAACTGTGATAACTAAGCAATTTGCTGTAACACAGACAAGAGACCTTTAGGTGTGATAAGTTACTAATGAGGATTAATAAAGTGCTTTTTCATTGTACTCTGTCTTGTCAGCTGCCATGGAAGTCTTGTTTCAGTGTACTCCAGATTATGTGCTACAAACTTTCTTCGCTAAATTACGCAAATAACCACCACATGTGAATATTTGATTCTATAATGCAGAGTGCTGCAGTCCAAAATTACCAGGAAAAAAAAAAGATGCCATGACCTTGACATTCCTTTACAGTATCATTAGACTTTTATTTTCTATTTACAACCAATTTGTTATATATAAATAAATTACATAATTTCCAGAAAAGATTTCAATTCAAGTGCATACAAGAGCTAAATGACAATATGTTGAGGTTAAACACAGTTTGACTCACTGGTCCAGAAACAAAATACAACGTGTGCATAATGAAATTGTAGACTGTTAGAGAATGGGCAGCAAATACGGTTCAGTCGTCAGTGCCCATTTTGCCTTTGAAAGGACTGCAGACTGAATAAAAAGATGTACAATTCAGGATGTAAACAGCTCTTCTTACAGTATTGCAAAAACTGACGGAACAAATGCTCAGTCTATCCAGGAATTTATGTCAATGGTCCTTGAATGGAGTTAAAACACACAGCACGGTCTAGAGGTGCCTGAAGACCATCGGGCTCGTTTCAGGCATTGCTGATGACTATAAGAGCAGGAGTAGCTGTCTGCTGACTTGTCTCACACATGATGCTCTGCTCAGATGGCTTGGCAAACACTCTGGGAGTGTTGAGATTGTAGACTCCCGCCTGAAGGAAACAGGCTTGCAGTGTTAGACACAATACCTCCTTGGGCTTTAGCTGCAGCTTGTACTGGGACTGACCCACCCAAGCAAATGAGCTGTGGACCTCCAGGGACTCTGGGCTGGAAGAGACAAATAGAAGTGTTATGTTAAAAAACAAGTACTTTTGGAAAAGAATGCTACATTTAGGAGGTCACAACTTATCACCTGATATTAGAAAAATGTGTTATTTTGACCTCATGTTAGAAACCATCTTCACATTCTGCCTCAAGTATCTGTGGTTACTGTTGGATCGACTAACCAAAGAAATGCTTGCTCTTTGACTCAATTTGTTCACACAGTTCAATGGAGTCTTGATGGTCTACTTTTTCAGTTATTGAGGCCCGTGTACTGTTGGGAACACTATAAGCTTTACATCCTGGTCCTAATGTGTGTATCACTGCAATTTAATTGAGATGCTCTATAGAGAGTTGACTTCTTTCAGTTGTCTACTAGTGGATACTCAACCAGGATGCATCACAGGATAATTAGGAGCTACTACAAAGGGTTTGAATACTTCTGTGGCTCAGATTTTCTACCATTTTCCCCCATGGTCATTCCGAGTTCAATCTAAACTTGAGCTAAATTTTAATTATAAAAAAATATATCTTGAGGTAATATGAAAAATAAATACTTTCTCAAGCCACTGTATGTATCAGCTGAATTTTATACTGAAAAAGAGCAACGTCAGTCTTATTTAAGTGAAATCCACTGTCCACAACAGTTTTGTCTCCAGTTTCCTTACAAAGTAATCATGTGAGGAAGGAACACATGTTGTTTTAAGAAACTTACCTGGTGCTTTTGTGTCTTAAGTCAATGATGACATCTACCTGAGCCAAGGAGCAGTTGGACAGAGTCAGAGTAACTGGCACCAAACAGAGACTAGGCACAAAGAGAAAAGCAGCTTTTTATTAACAAAAAAAATATTTGCGAATAGGAAAAATTCTAAACAAACAATAAAGGTCTACAAACAGAGGATGGGATGGATAAATGTAATAATGCTAAATACTGCCAAACATGGTAACATCTTATTATCCTGTCTTAGGATGGCACTGAAAAACTGCTCTGTGCATGTGGTTATTTTAAGCCGCACAATTAATTTTTTTAAACTGCAAGACATTATTTCTAAAGAGCTTCTCTTATCACTTTATTTTTAAAAATCCAAACAAAGCCAAACAGTCCCAAATAATCGGCCACCATCATATCATAAAAACCCATAGTATCATATATTTGATCCTGAGTTTGGATATGTGAGACAGAATAAAATCCAAGCTCTACTATAGGTAAGGCTTAATGCTCCTTTGTGATAATGCTTTATGTGCTTATAGCTATATCAAAACACCCTGAACCTTCTCTTATGTTGCTATAGACAAAGGCTGTTTAAGGAGCTTCCACTGAATATGTACACTGACCTCTTTTGACTCTCCATATGTTTAATTGTGTAACCATCACTGCATACCATTAACCTTTAAATCGTCTTTCTCCTATATTGTTATTTGTCCTCTCTCTTCTTTCTACCTCACTCTCTAACCAGCTAGCAGCCTTTTGCTTTACTAATTACTTTGCACAGTCTTCTTTCCATTTTCCAGCAGTAAAGATGACAAAATAATCCTAAACTTGAGAAAATAAGGAGATCACATAAAATTTGAATGTTTTTCCTCATTTGGTGGTTCTTAATGGTTATGGTTACAATAAAGACTTGCAAAAAGGAAATCTGTGTTGGTCTATGTGCCTAAGGGTCTTATGCATTCAAAAGAATTCATTTCCAACACAGTGCCAAACAGAATTGATGAGATAATTTAGTTCAGCCTGGAGTAACTTCTTGAGTTTAACTTAACTCTATGGATCCCAGGGGGCTTTCCTAGTGTGAAAGCTTTTTTTAAAGCGAGAGCTATACATTAACCTTTGCTCGTAGTCTGTCCCATCTCTTATCTGAAGAATACGTTTCTAAATCTGATAGAACATTTCAGAGAGATGCACCTGTTTAATAACCTTTTGTAATCACTTGGACCAAACATTGTGTTAGGAAAAACAACACGCCAGGTGCCTCACCTTTCCTGCACAAATGGGTGTGTGCAGGTTTCAGGGTAGTGTAGGTTGGTTTTGATGAGCTGACAAAACTCTGCAGAGGGAAGAATGACTGGAGGAGGCAGGTCTGATTTAAACTTGAGGAGCACCATCTCCTGAGCTTCCTGAAGATGAACACACATACACTATTAAAGAAGACTTGCTCTAACAAATAAAAGTAATCATACCAGCATTATATAAAATATTTAAAACCCTCCTGAAATAAAACATTATATTAGCTTTTGGGCTTAAAGTTCTGCATTATTTCTAAGAATAATCAAAAGTGGGATTAAGTTTAGGTTTCTTATGCTGGTTTTATTTTAGAAAAATAGATTAAAAACAAAAAGCTTGCGGTACCTCCTTAGCAGTCAAAGAAGTGGCTTCTTTTCCGATGGTCTGCAGTGCAACATGGAGTTGGCCCTCCAGGATAAGCTGTTTGTTGTCCTCAACCACATAAGCCTAGTTAGACAGACACGCACAAAATGGTTATTGTCCATCAAAATATCCATCCAGGGTTAATATGATCTAATGTATATTGCACATTTAAGAATGATCCCTTAATGAGTATGAGCATTTATGATTTCATTGGTGGTGGTGACTTGTATTTTTGTTTTTGGTGTATTGTTCTTTTATCTTATTTTCTGGCAATCAATCATTGTAACTACAGCGCCACTCACTGGTGGAAGGAAAAAAACACTAAGTGTGAGAAAGAGACTGTAGTGTGGATAGCAGAAACCAGCGTGATGGAGAGAGATTAAACTGCCAAGCAAGTTGAGAACAGATGCATTTATATTATAAACCTTGTGTCCAACTCCAGCCTTTATGGTTAAAATCTATCCTGATTACTTATGAATGAGGATTTGACCTGATTTTTGTTTGTTTTAGCCGAGTGGACATCTTTGCTCTGTGAACCTGTAAAACTGAGATTGTGAAACCGTGATAGCGAGCCACCCCTAAGATAACTATTCCTGCTGGATCAACTTCTATTCAAGAGATAAGAACACATTTCTAAACTGTGGTAAGACCACACCATCATTTCTGTCACTGCTACGCACAGAGGACTTAACTGTATTTTTGTTTTCTTCCATTATTTATTTTTATGCTGCAATTTGGATGAATAGATTAATGTGCATTAGAAATTCTCTCTATATATTTTTGTGTGTTTTATATCCCATAAAAAAGCCAGCATTTAAACATTTACAGTAGTCTGGATTTTAGGATCTCCAGTTATAAACTGCTCTTGCAAACCGAGACTCTGGTGCTCGCTATCTGTAAATATCTACAGTGCTACACATCTATCCATCCATGTATCACTAAACTCTCTTACCTTCCAAATGACAATTATGTTGAGGTCCAGCTCACTGCACTCCTTGGCAATATCTGTCAGGTCTGAACTTCTGTTCTCAGTGGGCACAGAGCCTTGACTCTTGCTGACTGATGATATCCTGGATGATGCTCCGTATGCTTCCTGAGTTTCTAACGTCAGGCAGCGGAAGAAGAAATCCCCACATGGTGTGGTAGAACTGATGATCTAGACAAAGACAGCACCATTCACTCTCTATCACTTAGACCCTCTCTCCATGCAGGCCAGTCAGTTAAAGGAAATTTAAACATCGACACAACTGAACTTCGCCAACGTTCCTCCTTAACTCAATGATACATTAATAGATGACTGTTAGACAACATATTGAATTAAATAATGCTGCTACATCACTGTTTTCTTGACAACACATTTTCAATTCCACAAAATTCAGAAAGAGTTACTGTTTGTTTTACAACAAACACCATAGAGGCAAAAATGTCTTGATGCATGCTCAATCATCCAGATAAGGAAATCCCAAAAGGTTGATTCTGTTTATCTGGACGTCGAGTTTTCAGTGGGAGAAACGTTTCGTCAGTCACCCAAGTGACTTCTTCAGTCTCAGCCGACTGCAGGTCTCCCCAACCTTATGAACAGTAAATCTGCACAATAAGTGAAACCAGCCTACTGAGTAAATGTAAATATCCCAGCTGGACATTTGTCAAAGCTGGAAAGGCTCCTAAAGAAAGCTCCAGGTGATCAAGGAGAGAAGGACAACTGCTGCCTAAGTGAAAACCTTTAGCGATCCCTTATCTGTCAGAAATATCGGAACAGTTGAGACACATTTTCTCTAAACACAGCATCTCTGTGGCTTTT